GCAGTTGGAAGGCACCAGGCCTGCAAGGGAGGGCAGTTGAGAGGGACCAGGCCTTCAAGGGAGGGCAATTGGGAGCCATCAACCTGCAGGGGAGGGCAGTTAGGGGTGACCAGGCTGACAGAGGAGAGAAGTTGGGGGCAAACAGGCTGGCAGGGGAGAAGTTAGACGTCAATCAGGCTGGCAGGGGAGTGGTTAGGGGGTAATCAGGCAGAAGCAGTTAGGGGCAATCAGGAAGGCAGGCAGGCCAGCAGTTGGGAGCCAGCAGTTCTGGATTGTGAGAGGGATGTCATCTCTCAAAGGGTCCCAGATTGGAGAGGGTGCAGGCTGGGCTGAGGGACACCCCCACCATGCACGAATTTCACGCACCGGGCCTCCAGTTTCATAAGTGGACTCATACAATTTTTGTCCTTTTGTCTCTGGCTTATTTCACTTAGCACAATGTTTTTAGGATCTGTTCATTTTTGGAACTTGTATCAGAACTTTATTCCTTTTTATGGTTGAATATTATTCTATTGTATGTATGTACCACAATTTGTTTATCCATTTATATGTTGGTAGAAATGTAGGTTGTTTTCACCTTTTGACTTAAATAATGCTGCAGTGAATATAAGCATGTAAATATTGTTTTTAGGAGTGGGGTAGTGCTGAGTCTTAGGGTAATTTTATGTTTAACTTTTTGAGGAATCATCAAACTTTTACCCAGAGTGGCTGCATCATTATATATCCCTTACAGCAAAGTATGTGGCTTCTAATTTTGCCACATCCTCTCCAATACTTGTTATTTTCCCCTCCCCTCCCCTCCCCTCCCCTTCCCTCCTTTATTACTCTCATCGTTATAACCTCCCCTCCTTATAACCTCCCTATAGCTCATTGTGTAACTCTGTTTGGATGATTGTAGCCTTGTACTAAATTTTGAAATTGGAAACTGTGAGTCCTCCAACTTAATTCTGTTTTCAAGATTGTTTTGACACTTGAGGGTCTCTTGCAACTCTGTGTGAAATTGAGGATCAGCTTTTCTATTTGTGCAAAAAAGGCTGTGAGAATTTTGTTAGGAATTGTGTTGAATCTGTAGATGACTTTGGGTAATATTGACATCTTAGAAACTTCAAGTGTCTCTAAATTGCTGTTCTGAGATCAATTCCATTGTGGGCAGGGGTTTTCTCTGCATCAACAAGCAATTCTTTGGCACCATCTACCCAGAGATGGCATCGAATTCCACAGGTTGAGGTGTCAGTCCTGTAAGACTGCCCACACTTCCCACTTCAGACATCAGTCTCATGCTCAGGCTCTAGATTAGAGGTTCTAATGACCCACCTTAGACTTTAGTTGCCAGTCATAAGTCCAGGTTGTTTCCTGTACTTCTTAGCAACTGGCCATAAATCAGAGGTTCCCATGACTCTGCATAATGTTCGTTTAGTTTGTTAGAGTGGATCACAGAACTCAGAGAAACACTTAACTTACTAAATAGGGGTTTAATGTAAAAGGAACAGCCAGAGGAGGAGAAGCATGGGGCAAGGTGTGGGGCAGGGGCACGGAGCTTCTGTGTTCTCTCCAGCCGTGCTACTCTCCTCTGGTCCCCACACATCCACCAGCGCGGATTGTTTTTGACAGGATTGATTAAATCATAACCTGTAGGCCATGGATCCAGCCTCCAGCCCTGCTTCCCTCCCCTGAATTCAGGGGGGTGGGACTGAAAGTTCAAAACTTTTAATCACTAGGTTGGCTCCTTTGTCCATCAGCCCCTATTCTTAGGTGTTTAAAAAATCCTCATTAACATAAGAACTTTATTACGCTCATCATTTAGGGAATTCCAAGGGTTTTAGGAGCTCTGTGTCAGAAAGAGGGAGGAGGACCAAATAATTATTTCCTATTATTAATCCCAGTATCGCACTTCCTCTGTATGAACATGGGATATCATTCCATTTTTAGGTCTTTATTCCTTTCAGTAATGTTTTGTAGTTTTCAGTATACAAATCACTTCCTTGGTTAAATTAATTCCTAAGTATATTGTGCTTTTCAATGCTATTGTAAATGCAATTGCTTTCTTAATTTCTTTCTTGATTGTTGATTGCTATTTTATAAAAACACAACTATTTTATGTTGATGATACCACAAAAAATGAAAATTATTAGAAATAAATTTAACAAGAGTCGTGCAAGATGTGTATATTGAAAACTACCAAACATTGCTGAAAGTTAGGAAGGCCTTAATAATAGATTTGCAGCATTCATGAATTGGAAGAATCAATATTACGATGTTATTTTTCCCCTAATTGACCTATTGATTCAGTGCAATCCTAATTAAAATCCTAGTAGACTTATTTTTCATAGAAATTGACTAGCTGGTTTAACATTTATGTGGAAATATAAATGCTACATTAGATAAAACATTTTGGAAAAAGAAGAACAAAGTTTGAGGAATAAAGGACCTGGTTTCAAAACGTATAAAGCTACAGTAGTTGAGCTAGTCTGTTGTTAGCAGGAAGAAGGGCCTGTTTATCAGTGCAGCGCACTGGGGAGAATAGAAATAGCTCTGTATCTATAAATAATTGGTTTTGACAGTGGTGCCAAGGCAGCTCAGTGAGGAAAGGATAATCTTTTCAACAACTGGTGCTGGATCGATTGGCTAGCCATCTGTCTGTCATACAGTGAACTTAGTCCTTATTTTTCACCATAGAAAGAAGTTAACCTCAAATGGATTACATACTTTAACATAAGAACTAAAACTATAAAATTTCTCTAAGAAAATATTGAAGATTACAGTAAAGTTTCCTTAAAAGAGGCCCAGAAAGCACAAATAAAAATTGATGACTTTGATAAGATGCTCAACATCACTAATTATTAGGGAACTGCAAATAAGAAAAAGTGAGCTATCACCTCATACTTGTCAGAATGGTCATTATCAAAAAGTCAAAAGATAAATGTTGGTGAGGATGTGGAAGCAAAGGGAACCATGTGCATTGTTGGTGGGAATGTAAATTGATACAGCTATTATAAAAAACAGTATGAAGTTTTCTCAAACAATTAAAAAATAGAACTACCATAATACCCAGCAATACCACTCCTCAGTATATATCCAAAAGAAATAAAACCAGAATCTTGGAGAGGTATCTACATTCCCATGTTTACTGTAGCATTATTCACAGGGCCAAAATATGGAAACAATCTAAGTGTCTGTTGACAGATGAATAGTAAAGATAAATCTGGTGTGTGCACACACATAAACACTCTCTCTCTCTCTCTCTCTCTCTCTCTCTCTCTCTCTCTCTCTCTCTCTCTCTCACACACACACACACACACACACACACACACACACACACACACACAGGAATATTATTCAGCCTTAAAAAAGAAATCCTGCCACTTAAAATAATATGGATGAACCTTGAATACATTATACTAAGTGAAACATATTTGTGGAATCTTAAAAAAAGAAAGAAAAGTTGAACTAAGAGAATAGAATGGTGTTGCCAGAGGCTGGGGGATAAGGGGAAAAATTTTCAGTTATAAGATGAGTAAGTTTTGGAGATCTAATATATAGCATGGTGACTACAATTAATAGTGATTATATATATATATATATATATATATATATATATATATATATATATATATATATGGTGAGAAAGTAGATTTTCAATATCCTTACGACCAAAAGGGGAAAAAAGGCACAATGTGAGAAGATGGATATGTTAGTTAACTTGATTGTGGTGATTATTTCACAATGTATACATAAGTCAAAACATGTTGTTCACCTTAAATTCTTATTTCTCAGTCATACCTCAATAAGGCTGGAAGAAAAATGATTTTGATTTAATTAAAATAAAAAATTACTCTTCAAAAGAAATTGTTATGAAAATGAAAAGGCAAGATAAAAACTGGTAGAAAATATTTGCAGTATATATACCCAACCAAAACTACTTATCCAGAATATATAAACAACTTTTGCAAGTGAATAATGAGATTACCCAGGTAAAACAAAGATAAAAATTTGAACAGACTCTACACCAAAGAACATACACAGATAGCAGATAAGCAAATTAAAGATCTCCAACATCTTTGGTTATTAGAAAAATACAAATGAAAATTATGAGACATCCTTTAGAATGAAAAATTAAAAAGACTTATAATACCTAGGCCTAAGGTGGATGAGGAGCAACTCGACCTCTCATATATTACTCATGGGGATAGAAAATGTTACAGCCACTTTGGAAAACAATTTCTTATAAAGTTAAACATACATTTATCATGTTGCCCAGCCATTCTACTTCAAACTATTTTCTCAAGTGTTATGAAGACATGTCTATAAAAATGTTCAGAGCAGCTGAAAACTGGGAGCAACCCAGATATCCATCAACTTGTAAATGCACGAACAGTTTGTGGTATTTACATAAAATGTGATCCATCAGTAATAAAAAGGGACAAACTATCATTATGTGCACCAGCATGGATAAGTTATAAAATCTTGGTTAAAATTTCTTAGGAATTCTAGAAAAGGCATAACTATAGTGACAGAAAAGCCATTATTGCTAGAATCAGTGTGGGGAATTGACTGCAAATGTCAGGAGGAAACATTTTGGGTGATTGAAATGCTATGTAGCATATTTTGGTGATTGTTTACCTAATTGTATCCATTTTGCTGATTTCATTGGTTAATTTTATTTATTATAAATGAGTCTACAGTGAAGTTAAACATAAAAAAACCCCCAAATTTAAAAATATGAAACTTACTGTAAGCCATAGAAAAATTAGAAAGAATAACAAATTTCTTCTATTTCTGGACTTTCACAAATAAGGGCCTGCATACTTTGGCAGGAAAATTGGAAGGCCGTCAATAAGAAGGTAGATATCTAGCTTTACTAACCAGTTGAAGATAACAAAAAATATATTTGGAAAAGAATAGTAATTTTGTTTATTAAAAAGAAAGTTGTACTATATTTAATAAGTCAAATGTTAATTTCTTATCTTTTTATTAACTATTATTATTTTAATTCACTTTAGAAATATAAACCTGGTCGATGTGATGATATTTTAAAATGGAAACCTCCCAGTCTGAATTCTGTGGATTTTCGCCTAAAGATAACAAGAATGGGAGGAGAAGGGTAAATATGCACCTTTGTTCCCCCACCATTTTTACGTGAACCAATACTATTTGTTTCAGGCTTTGTTGTTTACTTAATATTTTATTCATACTTTACAAAAAATTAAAATAATATATTTTACAATATCCTTTATACATATGTATACATCTATCTCATTTTCACAGATTACTTTTTTAACCTATTACAGTTCACATTTTGTAGCTTCCTTTTAACTCTACTGAGTTTAGTCTTAAAACATAGTTATTTCTAAAATAAAAAATTAACTTTGTAAAAGTGAAAATAGATTTTGACAGTAATCCTGCCAAGTGAATTATAAATAAGATATGATCATTATTATAATTAAATATTTTGAAATAGTCTTTTTTACTTTGAAGAAACTACCTTATGTTTGCATTTGCATAGCAAATATTTATCCATGCTTTATTAGGATAAAGTTTTAATTGTTGAATTTTATTAAGATTTTTCATAATGTTAATTTTAACTCATTTATTGGTTAATCTTTTTAAAGTGAATTTATTGTTTTATTTCACCTTGTTCCTAAAATTTTATTGTGTATTATGTAAGTAAATACATAATAGCAACATAAGAAGTGTTTAATTAAGGAAATCATAAAGAGAAAGTAAGTAAGATGACACTGGCAGAGAGATTAAAAGTTTACCCATGCATGCTCTGAAATTCTTTTTACTTGTCAAAGGTAAACCATAGGTTTGCTTTCTGTAGCTAATGGAATGAAGGATATGTGATCAGTTATATGAATCCAAACTCCAGAAGATTGTCTGGAGTTTGGATTCATATTCAGAGACTGTATTTTTAAATAAAGAATACTCTCTCACTCTCTGCCCCAGGCCAGCAGAGGACGGAAATTGGGGGCGACTGGGCTTGTAGGGGAGGGCAGTTAGGGGCAAACGGGCTGGCAGGGGAATAGTTTGGTATTAATCAGGCTGGCAGAGGAGTGGTTAGGGGATGATCAGGCTGACAGGCAGAGATGGTTATGGGCAATTAGGAAGGCAGGCAGGCGAGCAGTTGGGAGCCAGCAGTCCTGTATTGTGAGAGGGATGTCTGTCTTCCCATTTAGGATCTGGCCTAAATGGTCAGTTGGACATCCCTCGAGGGGTCCCAGATTGGAGAGGGTGCAGGCTGGGCTGAGGGACATCCACCCACCCCCTGTGCACGAATTTAATGTACCAGGCCTCTAGTAATATTAATATTTTTCCTACAATTGTCCATTGCTATTAAGTATAGTAAAATGTAATTCAGTTTACTAGTTTGGCATCTAGCTTTGCTTTTATTCTTAGAATGTTTTTTAAATATATTTTGTTCTTTGGAAATGAGACTTTAAGTAAAATCTTATTTCCAAAGGCCATTGGACTCATTACTTCAGTAATGGGTCCCTTAATTTGTGTAGATTTTTATTTCTCATCTTCTGTCTTAACATATGTTTTACTAAGACATTTAACAGCTTTATACATCCTCCTAATCACTTCCAGTAAGCATGAGTCTAAAGTAATCAGCATTGTGGGTCAGTCTTTTGTTCTGTGTAATGTCAAAGTGACCACTATCTCTGAAAATATAAAAAAGATAGATAATAAGAAGTGGAAAGGATATGAAGAAATTGGAGCCTTCAACCACTCTGGCAGTTCCTCAGATTGTTACAGATAGGCTTACCATATGACCAAGCAATTCTACTCTCAGGTAAATACCCAAGAGAAATGAAAACATATATCCACAGAAAAGTGTATACATGATTCTTCTTAGCAACATTTTCCATAATAGCCACAGTTGGAAACAACCCAAATATCCACCAACTGACAAATGAATAAACATGTAAACAAAAAAACCAACAAAAAAACCATGTAAACAAAATAGCTCTTTTATTCACCAGATGAATGTATTGGATCCTATTACGCAAAGGGGTTCTGGAATTTTATAATTTGGATTTTAGTTCTAGATCTGCCACCCTTGACTTAGGTTACTTAATCTCTGTGTTGCTTCTTTCTACAACTGTTTAATATGGATAATTGAAGTGCATACCTCTTGTAGGAATTTAATGAGAATATATAAAACATTTAGAGCACTGCATGTTGCATAACAACTACATATTAATTATTAAGAAAAAATGACCACTGTCTTTGTGGATTATACTGGGGCAGAGAGTGGGAGAGTTGATGTTCAGAGTGTAAATTGGTGCAGGTATACAGCTATGAGGTATACTATGAATCATACCAGTCAAAGGCAGCTATCTTCTGACAATATTTCAGGTTTGTATAGAAACCACATCGTGTAGTTGTGTGTAAGATTTCAGGCTGTGTTGACTTGCTTCATTAAAGATGAAGCACATCTGAAACAGCAGCTATAAATTGATCTCACAACCTGATTAAATTTGTGATAATTCATAATCATTCTTCATGATCTCCCACTTTCTATATGGGCTAAACAGATAAATTGAATGGATATGTGTTCAGTATGCTCACCCTGGTATCTATTTAAGTCTGTGATGGTGGCACTAATCTTTGCACCTTTCTTGGGGTGGGGATGTATTATTACTTTTGCTTACATCCTTGGCAGGGAGAACAAGCTAGGAGCTTTCACTTGGCCTTTCCTAGCAAAATGATGCCTACTCCATAGTGCAGATATTCTCCCAGTTGCCAAGTATTTCTCCTCCAGTTATACAGTCAGGAACCAGAAAATAACCACAGATTATAGCCATGAACATACTATCCCACTTAGTTTTAACCTTGAGCCAGAAACGCATTTATCTGATAGATCATGCTGGCATTTTGAGTCCTTGGTAATTAGTGTCTGTTTAAAATTAGTATCTGGTAATCTCTGGTCAGTCTGAGTAGTCCCTTTTTCCAGGGCACCGTCACTAGCAAATGCTGATAGTCCTTTGAAGAATAGTTGGAGGGAGATTATAGCACATTTTTGGCATAAAAGGGCAAATAGTAATTATTAGGGTTTGCTGGCCATATAGTCTTTGTCTGAACTACTGTACTCCACCAATGTAGTGCAAAAATGTATATAGATAATATGTGAATGAATGAGCATGGCTGTGTACCAATAAAACTTTACGTATAGAAGTGTCAGATCAGATATGGTCTGTGGGCTAGAGTTTGCTAACAGCAAATTTATACAATAACTAGAGGCCCAGTACACGAAATTTATGCACGGAAAGGGTATGTGCCCCTCAGCCCAGCCTGCACCCTCTCTAATCTGGGATCCCTCTCACAGTACAGGACTGCTGGCTCCCAACTGCTCGCCTTCCTTCCTTCCTGATTGCTCCTAACCATTTCTGCCTGCCAGCCTGATCACCCATTAACCACTCCCCTGCCAGCCTGATTGCCCCTAACTGCCCTCCCCTGCAGGCCTGGTCACCCCTAACTGCCCTCCCCTGCTGGCCTGGTCACCCCTAACTGCCCTCCCCTGCTTGCCTGGTCCCCCCTCAACTGCCCTCCCTGCAGACCTGATCACCCCTAACTGCCCTCCCCTGCAGGCTTGATCACCCCCAACTGCCCTCCCCTGCTTGCCTGGTCCCCCCCAACTGCCCTCCCTGCAGACCTGATCACCCCTAACTGCCCTCCCCTGCAGGCTTGATCACCCCCAACTGCCCTCCCTTGCAGGCATGGTCCCTCCCAGCTGCCCTCCCCTACTGGCCATCTTGTGGTGCCTATCTTGTGTCCACATGGGGGAAGCTATCTTTGACCACATAGGGGCAGCCATCTTATGTGTTGGAGTGACAGTCAATCTGCATATCGCTCTTTTATTAGATAGGATAGAGGCCTGGTGCACAGGTGGGGGCCAGCTGGTTTGCTCTGAAGGGTGTCCTTGATCACGTGGGGGTTCCCTTGGGGCATGGGATGGCCTGGACGAGGGGCCTGTGGTGGTTTGCAGGTCGGCCTTGCCCCCCATCGACCAAAGATGAGGCCCTGATTTCTAGGATTTTTTAATCTTCTATAATGGAAACTTTGTAGCCTTGAGTGGAGGCCAGGGCAGGCCAGGAACTTGGCTTCCTCCATCACCGGAGAAACCCAAGACTCCTGCTTGCTCCGTGGCTGCAGGCATTTTTGTTGGGATTTATTTATCTTTTATAATTGAAACTTTACAGCTTTGAGCAGAGGCCTAGGCTGCCCAGGGTGTGCAGGAAGCTTGTCTTCCTCCATTGCCAGGTAAACCCAAGCCTCCTGTACGCTCCGTAGCCAAAGCCATCTTGGTTGGGTTAATTTGCACACTTGCTCCCGATTGGCTGGTGGATGTGGCTTGTGGGTATAGCAGAGGTATGGTCAATTTGCATATTACTCTTTTATTAGATAGGATCCTTGTTTATACTTGTGATAGTGTTTCAAGGTCCTTTTTCAAGGGGACTTGGCCTCTTTTCCTTCTGTTAAGAGGCTTAGGTCTTAACAAGATTAGGTCTATGCACTTGAAGTTGAGAAATGCTAGTTTAATAGTAAGCATGATGAAATAAGTAGAATCTATTACATAATTTTACTTTACCTTCTATTGAAAATATATGAAAAGTCCTCTTACTTTGCTGACTAGAGTATTTTTTTTCTTTTGCTCAGATTTATTTAAAAAATATAATGGTGAGTTCTATTTCTCATGTTTATTTGAACTGGTATTATTTTTAAGAAAGAAATTGTGGTAAAATATCTAGAGTGTTGAAAAAAAATGTTCTTGCATAAGAAAAGATTGAGTCAGCAAGAATATAGCTAATAACTTCAGGAGGGAAAAGCCTTTTTCTTTTTTTCTCCCTCTGCCTCTATTCTGGAATGAAATGTTTGACTTTTATTTACATTTTATTAAACTGTATTTTAAATAAGTGAAACTAGAGATAAAACACCAATGAAACCGGTATTAGTATGTAGTATACCTAATGACTAAGCTGTTTGGCTGTAGCTGGAGCTATAAATAGCAGTGGCTATTTTCATTTTTTAGCAACCGGCCCAGAGTAACTGCTTTGGTTATCTTATTTGAAGATATTCTCACCATTCGAACATATTTTA